AAAAAAAAAAAAAAAAAAAAAAAAAAAAGTGGAGTTCATTGTTTAGTCGCCAGCAAACTTCATGGAATTTGAAGTGTAGTGATACATTGTTCAGGTTCTTCCCAAGGTTCGGTCCTGTGAGAGAGTCATTGCAGAGCGCACTCCAGCTACTCTGGAAGCAGGGTGACCGAGCGACAGAAAGGGGATGACACGCACTCATCTTAATCAGCCTCTTTCCAGAAGAGATCTGCCTGAGCACCATGAGCGCGTCCCGGAGGCGCGCCGCCCAAGGGGTTTGCCTTAGCCCCCCTGGCAAGTCCACGTTTGGGGGACGCAGATCTTCAGGCCAACAGGCTGTACAATTAGAGTGCTCAGCCAAAACTTGGTTTGGGATGTGCCGCCTCAAAGAACAATGACAATCATCTCAGGGAAGTGGACAAATATAAGTAAAAGACGAAAAACTGTCAAAAAGTGACCCAGTGACTGGGGGCAGGGGGCAGGCAGAAGCTGCGAGATGCTAGTTTTTGAAGATACAATGCTATCCTGTTCATGCCGAGGTGGGCAGAATTTTTCGTTCCTTTGGGGTAAAACGTTAGCTCAGGGATGGCAGATCTCTCAATTTCAAATTCGCAAAGGTTACAAAGTGAGCTGAGAGGCAGACCTGAGTGGTTACTAGCCTTCAGTATTTCACTGCTTCAGAGTAGATCTGACAAACAGCGTGGAAGCAGTAGAATGTGGAAGAGTTCAGGCTTTAATAAAAAAAAAAACACCCACACACAAGAAGAAAACCGTTTTCCCTGGTGGCTTCTATAGCATAGGGGCGCTTTCATTTTCGTGCTCAGCCCTGAGCTCCAGCTACCGGGATGCCTGCGGTCCCCTCTCTCCAACCGCTTCATTCTTTCCGCAGCTTTTCTTAATTTGGAAGATTTGGAGGGAACTTTCTCTTCTTTCAGACCCCCCAGGACACACACTCCAGGGGTGGTGACCTGAAGAGTGTTCCTACGCGTTGCATTTCCTTTTCATAAAGTGGAGGCAATTCCCCAGCGGCGGACTTCACACCTTCCTACCGTGCGCGCGTGTGTGTGCGTGTGTGTGTGCGTGTGTGCGTGTTGTGTGCGGAACCGCCTGCTTGTCCCGAGGAGCAGACAGAATTGACAACCACCCGTGAGCTGCGCCCTCTTTCTGCAAACCTCCTGAGCCGAGGTTTTTCCATAAACGCGTTTACCTCGCCCACCCGAGCCTCCGACGTTCCACAATGGAGCTTGGGCCACGCCGGCCTCGTGCGCTGCGGTCGCGTGAAAGGTAGGGAGTCCCGAGCTTTGCGGGAAGCTGCGTGTCCCCGCGGCGCCTCGGCAGCCTCCAGGCCAGGCCACCTGGGTTGGCAGGTGCGCGACCCGCAAAGAGGGCCAGCCCGCGGCCGAGCCCCAGCCGCAGTGTGAGCAAGGCTCGCGTGAGTCACCTCCGCGCCACCCGCGCCAGGCCCTGGAGTCTCTCCACGCTCAGCCCCGGGCAAGCCCCTGCGTCCCCGCCCGCGCCTGGGGCGCACGCATTGTGGGGGGGCCCACCCAGGAACAGCG